CTTGTAATTGAGTTTCAAGTGAAATCTGTGTTTATCACAGTTGTTACAAACAGTCCTGGCAGACCTTAAAACTGCTCCAAAAACCACTTATTTATTTTTATTTGTGATCATTTCTTGATCATTTTCTGATGTGTTTTATAACAATCACTGTGCCGGTACAGCATAACGAGATTAAAATATATGAACTTTAATTTATTACACACATTGTATATTTTATACTCTGCAAAGTGGGCCTGAATATGAGCGGCAGTGTCTCTAAAAACTGTGTCTGATTTGTTTATTTATTCTCCATGATGTTGTAAGAGGAAGCCGGTCTGATGGAGTGGTGGAGAGACAGACGGATGCAGGAGATGCTTCGGTATCCTCTTGTTCAAATGTTGTGTAAACTATTTAACAATAAAACTTTCAATGGGTAACGCTGATTGTGCAGTGTTGTATTTACACACCGTTGATCTTCTGGATAAAAACCAATAATAAACAACGACAAACATTAGTCAGTAAAGCATCGTCACCAGAGTAGCACAAAATATTAACCATTGTTTTCATGACATGTACAGACTTCTTTACGGACATCATCTGGGGTCTCATTTACGCGTGAACATGTTTTACTTACAGCAAGCGCACATTCTCCTATTAACTTTTGCGTTGGAAGCGTTGGTTTTGTGACTACAATTGCCAACACAAAAGTTGGAATCAATAAAAATTCATTCATTCATTCGTTTGTTCGTTTGATCGTTCGTTCATTCATTCATTCATTCATTCATTCATTCATTCATTCATTCATTCATTCATTCAATCATTTATTCATTCATGCATGCATTCATTCATTCATTCATTCATTTGTGCATTTGTTCATTCATTCTTGCCTTCGGGCATTTGTGCATTCATGCATTCATTCGTGCATTAATGCATGCATTCGTGCATTCATTCATTAATTCATTCATGCATTCAGTCATTGATTTATTCATTCATGCATTTGTGCATTCATTCATTCGTGCATTCATTCATTCATGCATTTTTTCATTTATTCATGCATTCCTGCATTCGTTCATTTATTCATTCGTTAATTCCTTCTTTCGTTCGTTCGTTCATTCATTTATTCATTCATGCATTCATTCATTAATTCATGCATTCATTCATTAATTCATTCGTGCATTCATTCATTCATTCATGCATAGATTTGTGCATTCATTTATTCGTGCATTTATTCATTTATTCATGCATTCCTGCATTCATTCGTTTGTTCGTTTGTTCATTCATTCATTCGTGCATTCATTCATTCATTTGTGCATTCATTCATTCATTCATGCAATTATTCATTCGTGCATTCATTCAATAATTTATTCATTCATTCATGCATTCATTCATTCATTCATTCACTCATTCAATCACTTTCTTTTTCATCCACTTTTCTGGAACTGGGGTGCAGGGTTCCAGTCTCAAGAAAAAACTCCAAGTTTTCCTCTCCCCAGACAGTTTCTCCTCCAGGGAGATCCCAAAGCGTTCCCAGGCCAGCCAAAAGACTTTAGCTGCGTATGTACTGCATTTGAATTGAAATGTACTACTTCGCCAATAGAAAAGAATGCTCTATATAGTATAATATTTACTATATACTATACGAACATCGTAGTAAAGCATCGTCACCAGAATAGCACAAAATATTTACCATCGTTTTCATGACATGTACAGACTTCATTACGGACATCATCAGGGGTCTCATTAATAAACATGAAAAAGTTTAGCTTAGGGCTGCACGGTGGCGCAGTGGGTAGCATGTTCACCTCGCAGCAAGAAGGTTGCTGGTTCGAGCCCCGGCTGGGTCAGTTGGCATTTCTGTGTGGAGTTTGTAAGTTCTCCCCTTGTTGGTGTGGGTTTCCTCTGAGTGTTCTGGTTTCCCCCACAAACCCAAATTTTGCCTTTAACATATCATTGCCAGTAATAAATAAATTAACATGTATTCTGCTGTATGTTCACTTTTAAGGTTTCTACGTAAATTAAAATAATAATAATAATAAACATCAGACCCCTGGACTGTATTTACAGATCTTCTGGCTGTGATTGTTTCCCACTGGATTTAAAAAAAGGGGAATGTGTTTGGTGTTGTTTCCACAAAAGGTGCTCCTTACAAAATGAATAATCATATCCAGTCTTTTTGTTGTCAGTTTTCAGGGCAGTGCGTGTGAAGCTGATGGGTTTTTGGCTCCAGCAGTGTTTCAGGCGCTGCTCATTTTTGCGGTTCTCTCCTGAGCCCAGGGCTGGAGGTTCTGCAGGGCGTAGAGGGAGGAGTTATGCAAACACAGAGGATCTGACGACACTGATTCGCTGATGGACTTCTGGAGGGCGTCGGCCTGCAGCTGAAGCAGCATCCGATTGGCTTGCTGACGCCCAGCCTCACGTTCCTCAGCCGTCTGCCTTCTGGAGAATTTGAAGTAAGATGACGAGAAAAATATATTAAACAAAACATTTAATACAAATTAAAGAGATTGTTCATTCAAAAATTACATTTATGCCATTATTTAACTCACTCTTCACTTTCATTCATTCATTTTCGTGTCGGCTTAGTCCCTTTATTAATCAGGGGTCGCCACAGTGGAATGAACTACCAACTTATCCAGCACAGGTTTTACGCAGTGGATGCCCTTCCAGCCACAACCCATCTCTGGGAAACATCCGTACACACTCATTGACATTCATACACTACGGACCAATTTACCCTACACAATTCACCTGAACCACATGTCTTTGGACTGTGGGGGAAACCGGAGCACCTAAAGGAAACCCACGCGAACGCGGGGAGAACATGCAAACTCCACACAGAAACACCAACTGACCCAGCTGAGGCTCAAACCAGCGACCTTCTTGCTGTGAGGCGACAGCACTACCTACTGCGCCACTGCGTCGCCCTCACTCTTCACTTTATTTATGCTTTTGAACACAAAGGAAGACATTTCAAAAAATGCTGAAAACCTGTAACCATTGACTTCCATGGTGTTTGATACTATGCGGGACGTATGAAATACTGTTTCTGGCTCCAAGCCATTACTCATTTGAATTGAGAATATACAGTGCATCCGGAAAGTTTTCATATATGAAAACTATAACTATATATGTAACTATAATTATTAATAATTAATTAATTGTAATTATATATGTAACTATAGTGCTATGTTACAGCCTTATTCCAAAATGGACTTAATTCATTGATTTCCTCAACATTCTACACACAATCCCCCGTAATGACAATGTGGAAAAAGAGATTTTGAAATTGTTGCAAATTTATTAAAAAATATAAAAGCTGTAAAATCTCATGTACATCAGTATTCACAGGCTTTGGTGTGAAGCTGTAAACTGAGCTCAGGTACATTCCGTCTCCACTGATCATGCCTGAGATGTTTCAGCAGCTTCATTGGAGTTCACCTGTGGTCAATTCAGTTGATTGGACGTGATTTAAGAAGGCATACACCTGTCTATATAAGGGCCAGGGTTGACAGTGCATGTCAAAGCACAAACCAAGCATGAAGACAAAGGAATTGTCTGTAGACCTCAGAGGCAGGATTGTCAGGAGGCACAAGGTCGGGGAAGGTGACAGAAACATTTCTGCTGCTCTAAAAGTTCCACTAAGCACTCCATCATCAAGTGGAAGATGTTTAACCACCAGGACTCTTCCTAGAGCTGGCCGGCCATCTAAGCTGAGTGATCGGGGGAGAAGGGCCTTAGTCAGGGAGGTGATCAATAACCTGATGGTCACTCTGTCTGAGCACCAGCGTTCTTCTGTGGAGAGAGGAAAACCTTACAGAAGGACAACCATCTGTGCAGCAATCCACCAATCAGGCCTGTATGGTAGAGTGGCCAGATGGAAGACACTCCCCGCCTGGAACATGCCAAAAGGCATCTGAAGAACTCTCAGACTATAAGAAACTAAACTCTCTGGTCTGATGAGACTGAAATTGAACTCTTTGGAGTGAATGCAAAGTGTTATGTTTGGAGAAAACCAGCCACTACTCATCATCAGGCTAATAGCATTCCTACAGTGAAGCATGGTGGTGTTGGCATCATGCTGTGTGGATGTTTTTCCACTGGAAGACTAGTCAGGATAGAGGGAAAGATGAACGCAGCAGTGTACAGAGACATCCTGAATGAAGACCTGCTTCAGAGTGCTCTTGACCTCAGACTGGGGCGACGCTTCATCTTCCAGCAGGATAGTGACCCAAAGCACACCGCCAAAATATCAATGGAGCGGCTTCACAATGACTCAGTGAATGTCCTTGAGTGGCCGACCCAGAGTCCAGACCTAAATCCTATTGAACATCTCTGGAGAGATCTGAAAATGGCTGTACACCGTCGCTTCCCATTCAACCTGATAGAGCTTGAGAGGTCTGCAAAGAGGAATGGGCAACAAGACAGGTGTGCCGAGCTTATGGCATCATATTCAGAAAGACTTGAGGCTGTAATCGCTGCCAAAGGTGCATCAACAGAGTATTGAGCAAAGGCTGTGAATAATGATGCACATGTGATTCTACAGCTTTTTTATCTTTAATAAATCTGCAACAATTTCAAAAACTCTTTCTTCACATTGTGTGTGGAATGTTGAGGAAATAAATTAATCTAATCCATTTTGGAATCGGACTGTAGCATAAAAACATGTGGAAAAAGGGAAGCGCTGCTATTTTCCAGATGAACTGTATTTGATTAGTCATTTCACACGTTAAGGTGAATTTCATATAAGATGATGGCGTACACAACAGTCTGTGGACTAACCATTTACAAAACATTTATCACTTTCTGGCCATCGGATATTAGGCATGCTTCTATATATTGCGATTGTGATTTTCTAAAGTAACACAGAGCTTCGTAAACGTTTATTATTATCATTTGATGAGTCTCCCCATAAAGTTTGATATTGCGCTTGGACTCAGAAGCTGCTTCGCATGACGTCACGCTTAACAAGTGGAAAGTATTCGTTTTTACTCCATTTACTTATTCTATAGAATGTGATGTGAGGCTGGGTAAATAGTGAATAAATTAACATGGTTCAGTCAATGCTTTTGAATGAATGCAATGAAAAGAAATGGCTGAAGTTGCCTCTAATATTTTTGGACAAATGCAGAAGATCTGTACCCATTGACCTCTGTAGTATTTTTAGTTTGTATTTTACTATGGAAGTCAATGGTTACCGGTTTTCAGCATTCTTCAAAATATCTCTGTTTTGTGTTCAACAAAAGAAAGACACTTTTTAACCTTGGACATTTGAAAAAAGTGACTTTTATTGTCATTTGTAATAGTGTGCAGTGCTGTATTGTCTGTGTTGATGTTGTATAATGCTCTACAAACACCTGGTATTAAACTGCAAGTGAAAGATCTGTTATTTTACAGACTTATTTCTCTCTTTATTATTTCTTACTCATTATATTATTATTTCAAACTACTTTGAAGAATGTTTTTTTTTATGTTCAACTAAATTTGTTTAAAGTCAGCCCATATAAACTGTTTGCAGTACTGGGTTGCATCTGGAAGGGCATCCGCTGCATGCGTAAAACATATGTCTGAGCAGTTGGCAGTTCATTCCGCTGTGGCGAACCCTGATAAATCAGGGACTAAGCCGAAGGGGAATGAATGAATGAATGAATGAATGAATGAATGAATGAATGGATGAACAGGTCTGTCTCTCACCTCCACTTGGTCCTGCGGTTCTGGAACCAGGTTTTGACCTGCGCGTCCGTCATCTTCAGGCTCTTAGCGAGGGCCGCGCGCTCCGCACTGGCCAGGTATTTCTGCCGGTGAAAGCGCTTCTCAAGCTCGCAGATCTGCACCCGCGAGAACGACGTGCGAGGCTTTTTCCGTTTGGGCGGAGTTCGGTTCTGGTACGGGTGACCGATCCGCCGGGTCACGGTGAACGGAATGAGAGCTGCGAAACAGAGAAAAAGTATAATTTATGCTGTTCTGTTTCCTTATAGATTTTCTCAAAACAATCACATTTTTTCCCAGATAATAATATCATCAATTTAAAAGCAGGTCAGTCGACGCATTGACTTAAGTTATAATTATGAACATTGTTTGTTTACTTAAAAAAGAGAGTAAACTCGTTGCCTTAAGTCAACTAATCGCTTTCAACAGTTGCTCTAAATGTGTCTGATTATTATTAAATGTTCTTGTTGATTGCTGATTAGATGTTTGTTTAATATGCAATAGACTTAACGAAAAAACATTCAGAAAGCTGAATGCACTTCATTAACCCTCTTAAAAGAGCGCAAAACACATGCACATGATAAAGCAGCTCATCGCGTTATTATCGAAATTTGACAGAACATTCAGTAATTGTTAAGTCGCACATTTCTGTGAATAATTAAGGGCAGAACGCATATATATATATATATATATATATATATATATATATATATATATATATATATATATATATATATATATATATATATATATATATATATATATATATATATATATTTATAT